TTTAGTGTATTTTGTTGTGCATCACATAAATGGATTGTTTAGTTAATACGTTCTTTGAAAGATCATAACCAACTGTTATGCTTGAAGTGTAATGCCTGCTCTGTTGAAGATGAATTTCATGTCCTTCTGTTATGTCTGAAAGGACTGAACACATCTCTCCTGCCCTCAAAACACTACATTGGCTTCCAATTCGCTTCAGAATCGACTACAAAATCCTGCTCCTTGTTTTCAAGGGTCTAAACGGTCTAGATCCAAAATACCTCTCGGATCTCCTTACACCATATCACCCAACTAGATCACTCCGCTCAAGAAACCAGTCTCTCCTTGAAATACCACAAACTAGAACTAAGTCATATGGGGACAGGTCTTTCTCTAGAGCAGGACCCTTCCTCTGGAACAATTTACCATCCATCCTTCGTTCCGAAACAGAACTGTCAAATTTTAAAAGTGGACTCAAGACGCACCTATTCACCTCTGCACATGGATAAAGTGGGCTCAGATAGCGCTTTTGAGCAATTACATTGATAAAAAGCGCTTTACAAATATTTGTATGTATGTATATATGTATGTATGTATGTATGTATGTATGTATGTATGTATGTATGTATGTATGTATGTATGTATGTATGTATGTATGTATGTATGTATGTATGTATGTATGTATGTATGTATGTATGTCCTTATTATAAGATGTGTAGAGAACTGTTTGGACCACCATATTACTATAAAAATCCACCCCATGATAAGTTTGTCTCATTAATGTCAATAACATATTCTGTTCAGGTATCATTGTTCCTCAAAAGAAATGTTTCATGTTAAGTGGTCTTGCATTGTATATCATTGTATCCTGCGATCTGTATGATGATTGCTGTATCTTAGCACTATGGGCAATGTGGCCTCAAATGCAAATAAAACTTGTCACTTGTCACTATTTACAGACCGCCGCCATATAGATGGAATATTGCTGAGTGCGGCGTTAGACAACAAAAAACCCAACCCATTCACGGATAGATATTTAACGGGAATTATAGAGTTCAGTGCGATTAGCCTTAGAGAGATATACGTGTTTGGACCCACCTCGCACACGTGTCAAGCAGCTCCCGTACTGAGGGACGAACTAGGGGCGCAAACATGCTGAAGTATGAAACGTCGTGATCACTGTTTAACCCTCGGGCAGGATGAGATAATATCTATTCTCCAATCTGTAGCAAACTATCTACGTTAGGAATGTAAAAGCATATGTCATCCTTGCGGTGATGTCAAACACAAATTGACATTCTTCATGCTGTGTAAATGTATGTTTCACGTTTTTAAGTTCAAGATTTAATTACTTTTTCACTTAATTTAATTCAGTAACATTGTATCTAAATTTAAGCCCTCAGCGTAAAATCGAAAAATGACAAAACATGATGTCAATGAAGCATATTCCAAATTTACGGAACCATTACTCATGAATAGAGAGACAGAACACGTTAATATACCAAATATTATTGCTGTCAAACTGAAAATATCAATTCAAGGACACGTTATAAATTGAGTTGACTTAAAGAATTTTCTTGACGCCACGGCAACGGAACTGAACAGCTACTTCCTGTAAAATGTTAGGGAATATGTTAATGACCTTTTGTCTGTCTATGAATATAAAAACACAGGAGTTTAAGTCCGCCTTGTGGCAGATTAAAGTGTGTTGGTTTATTTGGCAGAATTTCTGCTTGACTTACACCTCGACTGAAAAGAAAGTGTTTGCTCTAATTACTCTGTTGAACGGGAAGGGTCGTATCATGTCACTATTTACTACCGCAATGGCGTCTGTCGTTTACTTTTTACGTTTACCTTCATCCTCAGTATCCAGCAGAGCACCTGCGTTATATAGGGATCAACAGTTCTTGGAAATATGGAAACCAATAACGATGTTTTCATACACTGCAATCTTGTTGCAGACTGGATCGGTAGAAACATGCTACAAGTCAATATATAGAAAAGGATATCATTGAAATATAGGTTTTATGCTGTAAAAAATTCGAAAAGATGTGTTCCTTAATTCATACATATAAATCGTCAACCATTTTCGGTATTTCACTATTGTTGTACCTTTTTAATGTGGTGTGGCGGTCCTGTGTTAGTTTGCCCTGTTATAATGATATAATGAGGGACAAAAATAAGGGATCACATGAAAGCACAATTGTTCCTTTATTTCTTTCCAGGTCTTCTTCACAAGCCGCAAAGCTAAACAATTGTGCTTTCATGGCTTGTGAAGAAGACCTGGATAAAAATAAAGGAACAATTGTGCTTTCATGCGATCCCTTATATTTTTCCCTCAGTATATAATAATGCTACATGTGATAGAAATAAACCAAGCTCTCCGTTCGACCACTAAAGGATGTCCATGTTTTATATGCAGTTCTTATCAACAAATAAGCTCTAATCCACTGCCACCCGAGACGCGTAGGTTTCGCATAGAAAACGCGCCGCCTTCGCGATTGTTCATACGAGCTTAGGCAACAGACTGACAGACTGGCGGCGATATTTGGTTAATTTAACCGTCACATGATAAACATATCTAGAAAAAAAATTGGAATCTTAACGGTATGTCTACCGTACAAATATTGGCTTTCTGAACACTACAGCACATGTACATCCAAATAATTTAATAAAAAAATATTTAACAATAAAATAGTTAAAAAATAGAATTCAATTGAATCGTCGTGCCATGGTTTCCGACCGTTTCTTATATACGTCATGCAGTATATCGCCACATTGATAATACTTCATATAGGTCATGAGCAGCACTTTAAATGATTCTTTTTACTTAAATGTCAGATCGAGATGTTCGTGGAACCATAGTACGTAGGCGTCTGTTGGTTTATTCTCTCCTCCGACAATGAAGCTGAAAAGTGGTCTGAGGCGCAGCTTTGTTTCTAAATTAGGCAATCTGGGTTTTATCCCTATTTATCAAGAGACGTCACTTCAGACACCACACTGTGACAATATCCTGCATTCCGCGCAACTCTTCTGGAGGTGGGGCCACCGAGACAATATCGTCACTTTATGGTCGCAATGTGATGCATTCTTCCGTTATGTCAACACCATTCTTGAGATCTAACATCACAGCATGGCGTGAGCTACTGGTAACGGTTTATCTTGTATAACTACAGGGGTTAGTGACACGGGGGCTACAGGGATGATGTGGTTTGTGTACCGTACAATAGGGTAGGAGACATTGAAAACCTTGTCTTACTCCTTTAGGCACATTAACAAGTGAGTGAGTGAATGAGTCTTTACTCCGCTTTTAGCAATATTCCAGCAATGTCACGACGGGGGACACCAGAAATGGGCTTCACACTTCGTACCCATGAGGGGAATCGAACCCGGTTCTTCAGCGTGACGAGCGAGCGCTTTAACCACTTGGCTACTCCACCGCCCCACACATTAACAATGTGATAACATGGTATTTACATTAACGTATATAGATTATTGTCGGACAAAGGTTTTAAGTCGTCCCGTTAACATCGGCTTTTCTCAAAATTCAAAATTCTGTCGGCACTGAGGAATGACTTTCTAAGATATATATACAGCATACGTGTGTCTGTTGTTTAGCATAATTTCTGTTTTTCACTTACAAGTCACAGAGACACGATATGTCGTTAAAGCAGCTCCGGAAGCTTCCGGAAGCAGTCCTATAATCGAACTATTTAGAGTCTAAACCCATAAGGATATACAATTCTTCAAAATATATTTAAAGTGACACTGACATTAATGAAATTCATTTTAATGAAGTGTTCTTTCTCTCTGCTGCTTTAAATATGTCTAAATGTTTCAGAACATTGCAGTATTTGTGCTTGGATTTCGCGTGGACTTCGCAACGCGTCCGGGATCATATTCATTTCGTAATTATGTTTTGGTCCTACTGATACGCTAAGCCATGTTATTCTTCGAAGGCGTGTTTGGTTTGAGCTGGAGTGTAGATTATTTGTTGTCATATACAGAATATTTAAATAACCACGTCAAACAATTATATGTTATTTTGTCAACAGGAACCCACGCTCACCACGACAGCTTACGATTATATGCTCGCGACAAAAAGTTAAGGAACCCCCATCCCCATTTCTTTAATAAGACTTTGGTTAATCTACCATGCGGTGACAGATTAACAATAATAATATAAAAAAGGTGTTTCGTAATATATTTAGTTTTTGGCGTATCTGTTTTGGTATAAAAGACAACGGTTCAAAATAATATTCATCTCGCAGCCCCATTCATACATGACGTTATGTGCGTGCTCCAGGTACAGACAGCAGGTTGTGTCATCAGGTTTTGTTTAATTAATGATGTTTCATTACACTCGATGAACATTTTTTACGATCATTGCAGCAACCTGCTTTAATTCATAAAGCTCTCATTGAAGGGCGTCGTAGCATTATTATGGGAATACAATATAGCAGCACTGTGAGAAAATGCAGAAATACCACAACGTTTATGAATGAAATAAACCTGAATAAGTTCTCAATTTCCACAAATATGATTACAAGAAAACGTAGTGACGCTAAGCACAAGGGGAGAAAACTGATGTAAGATAAAATCATCAAATTAATTCCTCGCACCTGTTGAGCAAGGAAACGAATGCGGATTTTGAAATTTCTTTATTAAAACCGCCAACTCAAATCGTTTTCAATGACAATGAAAACACCGGTCTTTTTATCCCCTGTACGAAACGGGTTCACGGAGGTCCATATGGTCGTAAATAACATAAATTGAGCTAATTTGAAATCAGATTTAATCCGAAACGAAAATCGTCAATATCACACGATTTTCCACTCGAAGTAGTTACACTTGTTGCTGGCAGTCGCGAGTAAGCATTGATTCAACTTGAAATACTCTTAGTGTAAACATGTTTATCGGGGAGGACAAACACAGTACACATGGCGGCCATTTGCAGGGGTCATTTGTCATGTCTGTCAACGGGTATATATCAGGGGCGAGCCAATCATTCGGCCGCATACCCCTTTCAGTCTCGGAGCTGCTAACTTGGAGGAGAAAACGCGAGATCCTGAAAGTCTCACAATGTTGCGGATATTGGCCTGTCTGATTGTCTTGGCATCGTTTGGCGCCTCGCAGTCGGCGACACTTCACAGGGTAAATATGTTTTAAAGTTTCGTTTATTTTGAGAATTCTTCATTTACTTTTTGAATTTCTTGTACGCATTTTGACAGTGTTTGGACTTTTTACAGCTAATTTTAACAAAATCGCATTTTGTTATCTGTAGTAAAGAAGGGGCATTAGTAAGTATGAACAAAATAACTTCTTTGAAATTCAAAGGTGTACCTTCTTCAGTACTGGAGGAAACGCAAGATTATGTCCTGAAAAGTTAAATGTTGGAGATACTGGATGCGTCGAATGGTCTTGCTATCGTTTTGACCAAAGCTATCGGAGATACTTTCACAAATATAATAATTATTTACATTTTTTAAACATCTAGTGTAATAAGTTAGAACGTTGTAATTATAATTACATTCTGTTATATAAAAAATTGTAAGTAAGACTAGTTCCACTGGATCAATCGCTGACACACCGTTGATTTCTTTAAATAATTAAATTCTTGGACAAGTTTGTTATGATATTTCGTTATATGTTAAATTATTCAAAAGATTAAGATAAATAATAGTAAGGTTTCGCATGGAATCTCTTCCTGTCATTATTTCCACGAATGTGGTGGAAAGGGGTCGTCTGGATGCATTTTTCTTTTCTTTCTTTTTTAGTGAAGGTAATAAGGGAATAATCTTTTAGAAATATCTAAAATCTTTCATATGACAGTACGTCTCGACTTCACCGTGTAAACAAGTACACGGACACTTTAATAAATTAGTTCCGTAAGTAGCTTGATAGAAAAAGGACAGAGTACGATAAGAGCACTTTTACGCCGAGGGAAACGCATTTCAGACTCAGGAAACGTTTTACAAATCATTTTGAAAGTTATCCGAGTTGTTCATAATATTCTGTTCACTTGAACACATTACATGGGTGTTTCGAAATATTCAAACAGGGTCAAATCTTTGACCCAAGCTGATTTCCAAAGGATTTAGATAACAATTGAAACATTAGGCCCAAAAGTCGTCTTAGGTCACAGACCTGCTCCTACTTAAGCGTTCTCACAGTGTGGTAATCGGTAATGTCTGAAGTCCAAAACTTTTAATGGTAGGAAAGAATCGAAACACATATCTAGTCAAATGGACATCTGGGATAATTTTCATGCTGGTATTTGGAAAATTAAAATTATATATTTCGGTTCGGCCTTCTCTTTACACATGTCTTGTAGATTTGGACAATAACAGTAGTGTTTCATTTAAGTCTGGTTCAGAAGACTACAGTCGCGAAACGTCGGTGATCTCAGTCCAGACAATAGTTAATACACCTTTGAAGCCAATCCTCCCCGTAAATACAGTATAGGCTAAATATCCAGTCAGCAAAGCGAGGTGTAATATCATATTTCATTGGATGAATCTCATACTTCTATTGGGGCGGTGGGGTAGCCTAATGGTTAAAGCGTTGGCTTGTCACGCCGAAGACCCGGGTTCGAATCCCTACAATGGCCACAATGTGTGAAGCCCATTTCTGGTGTCCCCCGCCGTGATGTTGCTGGAATATTGCTAAAAGTGGCGTAAAACCAAACTCAGTCAGTCAGTCAGTCAGTCAGTCAAACTTCTATTTGGAATAAATGCGAAACATTCATTTTTTTGGTGCCTTAATGTGAAACAAACAGTATACGTTAGATTATGCCAACCAGTATTTCTTGTTATTAATTTCTATTAATTAATATAATGATGTATCTTAATTTACCCTACGTACTGTATACAATACACAATTAGGTGTACCATCAATAATAATGTGATGTATTTGTGCCTTGAAGATGTCCCCGTTTTTAACACATTAATGCTATGGCTTAATATATCGGTTCTATATCGTAGCAGTGTTTCCCATACACAAATAAGCCCATACCTAAGAGTCTGTACCTCATCTTGCTGTTGCGCGTTCATCGGCCGCACCAGGATATGGTGATTGTGGGTTTGAATCCCACGTATGATCCTTCGTCAGTCACCACCATAGTCTTGCAATTGGTTGTCTCTAGGCTGCTGAAACCCTTGAAGGTCCAGGTTAGAATTGATCTTCAGCAACCCATGCTTGTCGTACGAGGCGACTAACGGGATCGGGTTGTCAGGTTCGCGGACTTGGAATACACATGTCATCGTATCCAAATTGCGTAGATCGATGCTCATGCTGTAAATAATCGATTGTCTTTTCCAGACTCGATTATTTACACACCGACGCCATGTAGCTGGAACATTGCTGAGTGCGGCGTAAAACTAAACTCACTCACTGACTCACTCACTAGGCTGCTGAACGTCTAACGTAACACCTTTATATAGGTTTTCTCTCAGTTTTAGTGAGAGCTCCGTGATATAACTGAAATACGGTTCAAAGAAATGTCACACCCAACTCACTCACTTGTTAAAGTGAATCTATAACAGAGACAACAGTGAAACTCCTTGAACCATGTATAACCGGACTGGTCCATATATCCAGGGCACTGACATTTTGCGCATAGAGTTGCGTCCCTAGGTGTGCAAGGATCTATAGTTCTACTTGCGATTCCCATAATTGCCCATATCATAATCTATTGTTGGTTTGTCTGCTCCCTACCCGTGGGTGTCTCCAAAATGGAAAATGTATAAACAACTCAGCGTCCTCCTCTCCCAATAGGAAACTGCCACGCTCTCATATAACGGAAATACAGTATACAGTTATAACGAACTCCCAGGGACCATAGTTGTAGTTCGTTATAACCGTAGTTCGTAATATGCATTTCGACAAAGGTAAACAAGAGACCGGGACCAAAAAAGCCCAAACGAAGTTTACTGTATTTTTCAAAACGGTGTTGAACCTAACTCACCCACACATGTCCTCGATCGAAGTTCGTAGGTTTAACTAAACAACTGTTTTGCTGCAGAATAAGAGATGGAACAACGGCGGCGATGAGTATGCTGTTGCCCCTGACTACAAGCCCATGGCACTGGATGACCCGAGAAGACAGAAGCAGGTTGAGACCTACTCGGACACTGCTCAGGTAAATACCGACGGTTATTATTTTAAACTTCTTTTCTTTTCTTTTTTAATCAATTTGTAGATTGATCCTTTGTTATCCTGGACATGAGCCCTTCTCTTTATCTAGGATGTTTGGAACAAAAATCTGAATTAAATGAAAATACAAACGGTATTTTGCCGAGACTTGCGGCCCTTGGGTACGCCAGAATCTTATGACACTAAAGTGTTTCTCCCATATTGAGCTGGCATGGTGTGATATAACTGGAATATTGGTCACAACCCGTGAAGATCCGGGTTAGAATTGATCTTCAGTAACCCATGCTTGTCGTAAGAGGCGACTAACGGGATCGGATGGTCAGGCTCGCTGACTTGGTTGACACATGTCATCGGTTCCCAATTGGGCAGATCGATGCTCATGCTGTTGATCACTGGATTGTCTGGTCCAGACTCGATTATTTACATCCCGCCGCCATATAGCTGGAATATTGCTGAGTGCGGCGTTAAACAACAAACAAATAAATAAATTAAGCCCAACCCACCCGCTGCATATCTTGATATCCGAAGCACTGACAGGTGGGAGTGTTTGATCTAACGGAAGCAGTTTGAATCTTTAGGTCATATGAACTATATTTGGCTTCTTCATTTGACTCTGTCTTGAACCAGTCAAGAAAACTATATCTCTAACAAAATGGAACAATATTCTTACTCCATGCTTACAATCTCCTACCCAGTGTTCCATGCAGCCAGCCAGCATAGTACCTCTGCCACATGCCAGAAAAATGTGACGATTCGTCACATCTTGCACCGTCCATTCAATATAATGTACAGATGTGTTAGCCTTGTGGTTAAAGCGTCCGGGTCGTCACGCTGAAGATGTGGTACAATGTGTGAAATCAATTTCTGGTGTCCCCGCCGTGATATTGCTGGAATATTGCTAAAAGCGGCGTAAAACCATACTCACTCACTCCAATTTAGTCTTGAAATGCTAACGTACTGAGAGACAAGTCTAGGTAATTGGGTCCTATTTCCACCTCGGAAACCCGAGGAGAGACAAGTCCAGGCACTGGGGTCCTATTTCCACCTCGGAAACCCGAGCAGAGACAAGTCCATTTAATGGGGTCCTATTTCCACCTCGGAAACCCGAGGAGAGACAAGTCCATTTAATGGGGTCCTATTTCCACCTCGGAAACCCGAGGAGAGACAAGTTTGGGGTGTCGGGGATCAACTTAGAACTATAATACCTATGGAGAGACACTCTGTAGAGTGTAGAGATACTTGAGTGAGTGAGTGAGTGAGTGAGTGAGCGAGCGAGCGAGAACTTGAGCTTGCTTACCAAAACACTTCTCAGCAATATAAATTCCAAATCACAGCTGAACAACGTCCGTCGACAATACAGCCCATTATGCTGTTATTTGTTATCAGTCATATTGTCTTGCTTCATTTACCCAGCGACTGCTGGTGTCACGTCAATGAGTGTAAGGTCAATGTAATTGAGATGTATGGCGAACCTGGGTACACTACACTCCCACCTACCCCGCCATGTGTATTGTAATCTCGCTTAATATCTCGGCCGTAATATGCGTGCTGGAGAAGGATATGACTTTAATTGGGAATACTTGCCTCTCTGGGGATCAGTAGGAGCGCCCCGAATGATAAAGACGGTTCATTATGATAATCTGGATGCATTCGTCACCATTCGCATGTTTCCGTATCCTACATTCGGCATGTCTCGGAATGTCACGAGTGCGTCACGAACTAATCTCCACGCATGTGAGGATTATTTATTGAAAACAAGGGACTTAATCGAGTGTTTTCTATGCGTAGTGTAACTGGGATATTGATATATACGGCAGTGAATATTCAGGGACCTTTTTGGGGGATCGTGTCACTCCGTTGAATAAACGATCGTATTCTTTATGCCGCAAATAACAAAGGGACCCGGGGTTCGGAGTCAAGTTGTGAAATGCTGTGTATTGAGAAGCGTGTTATTGAATAATTTGAAATAATTTGAAACATACTTACTTACTTACTTAATCGTTTCGGGTTGGTATCGATCACATTACATAGATGAAGTGTTGGCCCAAGACAGAAGCCATATGTATATATTTCAATTACTCAGCCATTTCTATAAGGTTCGTCACGACATTATATATTATAGTTTATATTTAACAACTGGAATAACATGCATGTGTGTTGTATGTAAAGTGTATCAAGTGTTTGATAGGCATTAGAGGACTTAGGTGGATGAATCAATAGCAGATTCGCGTTATTGGTTATAGTGAGTGAGTGAGTGTAGGTTTACGCCGCTTTTTGCAACATTCAAGCAATATCATGGCGGGGGACACCAGAAATGGGCTTCACACATGGTACCCATATGGAGAATCGAACCCGGGTATTCGGTGTGACGAGTGAACGCTTTGACCACTAGGCCCGCAATCGCCCCTCACTAGAAACTGGAAAAACTTTATGGATAACGACGTCTATGTTGTTACTTCTTGTCCTTTCACCAGATAACAGCTATAAACCACCAAGACGTTGTTATCCGTAAATGTTTCCATTCTTTGCATTCATTTTTATTGGGCATAATTATTCTAAATTACCATAATGCAGAAAATACTCGAAGAAAATACAGAATGTGAAGGTGAGCTACAGACCCTGTGTCTTATTTCAATGACCCGAGCGGATCGTTGTTAGAGAATATCCCTAAATCGCCCCTCAACAAGGGTCATGCAATGATCAAATGGGTTTAAGGTAACGCAAGTATGTGTCTTCACAACTGGGTATTATGTTTTTAAACTTACTTCAACCTCTTCACGTTGTCACACGAGCGCCCTCTGTCGGCACTTGCATACCTTTACTACTGGAACCAACAAGTGCCACCTGACGTCCTTATGCCCCGTACATAGAAACACACAGGCCTTAGATGGATTTGCATTTGTCTTTTGATTGACATATGTAACACGTTATTCGGTCACAAGAAGATTGCAATATCTACTGTTATAACGTTGTCTGTTTTTATATTATCTTTTGTTCATAATTTTTTTTCTCGATAATCTGCTTCACGAACGTTGTGTCCAAACTATGACTAAGGGTATCAGACAGGATAAATTCTGATGTGCAAAACATTGAGCCCTGGATTACACAAGGTACTTGAAAATACTCTTAACCTGGTGAATGGACCAATGACTATAACTGTAACATACGCTTATATACTGAGGGAAAGAAATTTTGCAACTACCGAGGAAAGCCCGTGTTTGGTGTGCGGTTTGGTAGGAAATTAAATTATGTATCGCGGTGAATTTCAAAGTTTTTCGGCAATTATGTGATATGAAACCTTACACTGCCCATGAGAAGCTTATTCGTCGTTACATGTAACGTATTAGACAGTACAACAGCACTGATATATCATTGATAGGAAGCGTTTTCATGCAGTTGTTTATATGTATTAGTATAAATATGTATTATCTCCTTTTCAGGAACATTTTTATATTTCAGTAAGACAAATGAGAGTGTGGCATGTCTGTTACTCATAAATACTGAATAGGTCCATTTCGTTTCATCTCCCCGGCGATTTGAAATTTGAAATATAGGGGTGGGAGCAAGCTTATATGGAGCTACCTGAACGTGAGGACGTTTTACCGCTCCATTGAAACCAACAATCCCAGCTACAACTCGGACACACACGTAATACTTGAGGGAACTGACCAATGGACATCGCAAATGATATATTAAAAATGAAGAGGTCAACACAGAATTCAACTTGTTATATGTTGGAAGAACATTTCAAACGTACAACATTTTTTTCAAATTTCAGATTTCACTCCTACGCTAAAAAAAACCGGAACGCTAAGTCATCCATTAGATTTAGTCGTAAACATTCCTTATCAAAGTTGTCTTATTAATAACCCGACTCCAAGCACCTGTAATCTCAACATGATTGTTGCCTTATCGAATAGTTAATAAACGACGCCTTTAACCCTGTGTGGAGCACTCTATTTCTATACTCTGTCTGAGCGAGTCTAACTTGGTGATTTATGTGGGACTGCGATCGGCACTCCAACCAGATTTAAGTTTTTGCTCTGTCAACGCTTTTGACATACGTCACAAATTAATTGTTTTGTCAGTTTGTTTCCCTTTTAAGTCAAAGTCCGTGACTTGAAGCCAGTTTCCTGGGCGCCTGTCAAATTGGGAATAAATGTTTGTGTAGGCGCCATTCGCTACTTTCCCAGGGTGTTCCCTTCAGCATCGTTTTTTCAAAACTCAACGAGTTTTTAAAATTATAAATGCACTAACAGTTAGTATAAATTTCAATTAAATATTTAGTTCCAAGGTCTTTTTTTTCAATCTATATTGTTAACATTTAAACCGGTTGTATGATAGGTAAGGTGTCACGTGGTTCTGTGAATATCAGTTGAAGTCTGATGTTGAATGCTGGCGGCGGATAGTCTATGAATGGGTGACTGCGACTCCTTGAAGTCTCTCGGGCTTACGTTCAAATCTAGTCCCAGAATCCGTGTTTGGGTTCGTCTACAGTGCTGTTAAGTAGCCAAGTGCACGTGGTTCAAGTTGTATCCTGACCATGATACAAATGATGAAGCTGATTTCCCCAGAGTTGTATACTCCTGAAACTCTAGCAAGTCTACAATGGCCATGCTCACAAATTCTTATTGTAGGACTGACTGACTGACTGACTGAGTGTAGTTTTACTCCGCTTTTAGCAATGTACCAGCTACATCACGGCGGGAGAACACCAGAAATGGGCTTCACACATTGTACCCATGTGGGGATTCGAACCCGGGTCTTCGGCGTGACGAGCCAACGCTTTAACCACTAGGCTACCTCACCGCCCCCTTATTGTAGGATAGATTGTGAGTCTCTTGCTATCGATATTCCAGTAATGAAAATGTCATTCATATATGAACTCCTTGCAGGGTTTGACTGTGGTCAAGGATCCCTCTGACGGAATCAAGGCGTGCTTCATCACCGACCTTGACCCCGAGTTCTTCCTGGACACAGAGGAGAAACTTGGAATCGTTAGCTCTCCCGACCATGTACGTATCACGCTCCATCTTGATGAGACTACGGAAGTTTAGTTTCCACCCTTGTCGGTCTAGGCTTCATTTTCTTAGATGTATTTTTGCTGGATTAGCGAGACTATGTATCGCCCAATCAAATTCGATTATACTGAAATGGAGATCACGTTCGTACGTGTCACTGTGGCATTACTATATCTTTAATCTACATGCTTTAATGGCGTGAGGTAATCCACTTGTACTGGTGGTCTGTGAGGCAGGAACCGCGAAACTTTTCTGCGATAAACTTTATCAGATGGCGTCTTAAATGGGCGACCTCATTTGAAAGACAGGAGGGACATAGAAGAAACATACCTATCTCTCCCTCTCTCTCTCTCTCTCTCTCTCTCTCCCTCTCTCTCTCCCCCCCCTCTCTCTCCTCTAACTCTCTCCCCCTTTCTCTCACCCTCTCTCTGCCTCTCTGGCTCCCCTCTCTCCCCTCTTTATCTCCCTCCAACTCACCTGTCTCTCACTCTTTTCCTCTATCTCTCTGTCCCTCTCTGTCCCTCTCTTCCCTCACTCTCTTACTTCCTCCCTCTCTCTCACTCTCTTCCCCTCTCCCTATACCCCTCTCCTACTCGCCCACTCTTCCTTCTTCCCTCTCTCTCACTCTCTTCCTCCCCTTCTCTCTCTCTCTACCTCACCTACTCTCCCGTCTTCCTCCCTCCCTCTCCTCTCTCTCCCTCTCTCTCTCTCCTCCCTACTCTCCCTCTCCCCTTCTATATCTCTCTCCCTCCCCCACTCTCCCTTTCTCCTCTCTTCTTCCCCTTCTATCTCTCTCTCCCTCTCCTTCCCCTACTCTCCCTTTCTCTCTCACTCTCTTCCTCCCTCCCTCTATCTCTCCTCCACCCCCTTTCTCTCTCTCACTCAGATACATTGACTTACTCCATGTCTCAATTATATTTCAGGAGCCCTTCATCGTCAGCAGCCCGATAAAATTCGAGGAACTTCAAGACAGGGCTGGTCCCATCATCAGCAAACTCTGCAGCCGTCTTCACACTTTCTGGCTGAACGCACAACTCCCTCCTCCCCTGGCCAAAGGCCAAGCCCCGCCCTCTACTATCAAATCCACACCCGCTATCATCAGAACTCCAGCCCCAATCCACCTGGCCAACCACAACATAGTTGAGACCGTCCTTGCCCCAGGGGCTCAAGCTCATGTGATGAGAACCCCTCCCCCACTTCACCGCGACTTCAAGACCCCACCCCTCTGCCCAAAGCCATGAGGACCCCACCCCCACTCCCCACAACTTTAAAGTCCCCCCTCCCCTGAAGTAAAGACTTTCCTCCCCTGACCTACATGAAACGTAACATGCATTTTTGTGGAGAGATTTATTAGACGTTATGTTGTTATGTCGCGATGTATAGAGGCAGAGAGAGAATCACACTACCCAAGTCAGATATATATGGAGGTGAACTTACTTTAACTAATGTCCTGGTTTTAATCCACGCTTGAGTTTCTGCCTGCACTGGGAGTTTCAGGATCATCGATGTCATGTTAGCGAATCCACAGACTTAATCCAATAAATTCTCTTGTCATACCCAGGGTTATGTTCTTATTCACTGTGCGTGTTTGTGCTGATTTACTGGTGGAAGGATGTTTGAGGGATTTACACTTATTCTGTCGATAATTATTTTTGACGTATATAACCGGATGCAGTATTTGCCTTTAACCCTGAAATGCTGCAGACCCTAAGGGCCCAGAACCATAAAAGTTGCGGGTCCTGATCAGAATGAGTAGGCCCTATATTTTAATATGGAAATAACACTCTTAGTTATTGGGGATGAAACAGCTGTTGGCCATAAAGACCTGCAGAAAACAAAAGCTGTGGTCGGAGTGGTTTTAAGTCGGCTTCGGGCCTAAGGACCGACGTTAATTTCGAACGCTGACCGGATGCAAACACTAACATTGTATTAGACAAATGTTATGTAACATGTAAATATGATCGATTCTGGGCCACAAAGACAAGTGATTAATATTATGAACAAGTCCTCAAGGGGACGATGACACACCACACGATCGAGGAAATGTTACTAGTATCTATTACCAGCTGGGACGGTGGTGTAGCCTAGTGGTTAAAGCGTTCGCTCGTCACGCCGAGGACTCGGGTTCGATTCCCCACATGGGTGCAATGTGTGAAGCCCATTTCTGGTGTCCGTCGCCTGGAATATTGCTAAAAGCGGCGTAAAACCATTCTCACTTACTCACTCACAATTACCAGCGTTTCTTGGTCAGCTGAACAGTTACAAAAATCAGCCCTCAGCCCATGGAGACAAACATTTACTGTTACAGGTTAAGGGTAACAATTAACTGTATATTATAACGATATTATGCTGTATATCACAAGGCGTACATTTCACGCCAAAGTGGAACACGGAATGTCCAACACAGTAGAGGATGTTGGTAAGATTTGTAAACTACGTCGCCATAAAGAAAGTGAGTGAGTGAGTTTAGTTTTACGCTGCTTGTAGCAATATTCCAGCAATATCACGACGGGGGATACCAGAAATAGGCTTCACATATTGTGCCCATGTGGGGAATCGAACCCGGTTCTTCGGCGTGGCGAGTGAACGCTTTAACCACTAGGTTGCCCCACCGCCCTGACTGTTATAAGCAAACCCAGACACACAATAATTGCGAATCTGAGATTCGAAGGCGCTGGTACTGTTTCCGGCATACCTAAGGGAATGCATTTAAGAGGCTGGTAATTAGAAACGGAGCGGGGAATATGTACCCTGGGAGACAAACGCCTAAACAAGACTGTTATAAGCAATCCTAGCTTGTCAGAATGCCGTACATACCTTTATGGCGAAACAGTTAGGACTTGTCAAGTGGTCTGAAGTCGAAGGAGCTGGTTCCCACTTTCATGGATAAGGTTCTTGTAGCAGTGACAGAATTATACCGTCTCTACCAGATAAGTAAGAAATGACATGAATCTGTCTGATTTCCTTGGTTTTGTTTGTTTGTTTGTTTGTTTGTTTGTTTGTTTATTTGTTTGTTTGTTTGTTGTTTATCATGGTCACTCGAACAATTACACAGGCACTATGTATCATTGTCACTCGAAGGCGACGCTTATCTGGTTGATCCTGCCAGTAATCATATGCTTGCCTCAAAGATTAAGCCATGCATGTCTAAGTACCAACTCTAGCACAGTGAAACTGCGAATGGCTCATTAGATCAGTTATGGTTCCTTAGACGATACAATCCTACTTGGATAACTGTGGCAATTCTAGAGCTAATACATGCACAAGAGAAACATGTTTGTTGTTTATCATTGTCACTCGAACAATTACACAGGCACTATGTATCATTGTCACACGAACAATTACACAGGCACTATGTATCATTGTCACACGAACAATTACACAGGCACTATGTATCATTGTCACTCGAACAATTACACAGGCACTATGTATCATTGTCACACGAACAATTACACAGGCACTATGTATCATTGTCACTCGAACAATTACACAGGCACTATGTACCATTGTCACTCGAACAATTACACAGACACTATCTATCATCGTCACATCAACCAAACCAACCAAACAAACAATATGCATCACTGTCACTCGAACAACAAAACAATCAATATCTATCATTGTCACTCGAACAACCAAACAAACAATATGGTCATTGTCACTCGTACAACCAAACAAACAATATGCATCATTGTCACTCGTACAACCAAACAAACAATATGCATCATTGTCACTCGAACAACCAAACAAACAATATGCTCATTGTCACTCGAACAACCAAACAAACAATATGCATCATTGTCACTCGAACAATCAAACAAACAATATGTATCATTGTCACTCGAACAATCAAACAAACAATATGCATCACCGTCACTCGAACAATCAAACAAATAATATGCATCACCGTCACTCGAACAACCAAACAAACAATATGCATCATTGTCACTCGAACAACCAAACAAACAATATGTATCATTGTCACTCGAACAACCAAACAAACAATATGTATCATTGTCACTCGTACAACTAAACAAACAATATGCATCATTGTCACTCGTACAACAAACAAACAATATGTATCATTGTCACTCGAACAACCAAACAAACAATATGTATCATTGTCACTCGAACAACCAAACAAACAATATGCATCATTGTCACTCGTACAACCAAACAAACAATATGCATCATTGTCACTCGAACAATCAAACAAACAACATGCATCACCGTCACTCGAACAATCAAACAAACAATATGCATCACCGCCACTCGAACAACCAAACAAACAATATGAAAATTGTCACTCGTACAACCAAACAAACAATATGTGTCATTGCCACTCGAACAACCAAACAAACAACATGGTCATTGTCACTCGTACAACCAAACAAACAACATGCATCACTGTCACTCGAACAATCAAACAAACAATATGCTCATCGTCACTCGTACAACCAAACAAACAATATGCTCATTGTCACTCGTACAACCAAACAATTATATATGCATCATTGTCACTCGAACAATCAAACAACAACATGCATCACCGTCACTCGAACAATCAAACAAACAATATGCATCACCGCCACTCGAACAACCAAACAAACAATATGAAAATTGTCACTCATACAACCAAACAAACAATATGTGTCATTGCCACTCGAACAACCAAACAAACAACATGGTCATTGTCACTCGTACAACTAAGCAAACAATATGCATTATTGTCACTCGTACAACTAAAAAAAAATATGTATCATTGTCACTCAAACAAACAAGCAAACAATATGTATCACCGTCACTCGAACAATCAAACAAACAATATGCATCACCGTCACTCGAACAATCAAACAAACAATATGCATCACGGTCACTCAAACAACCAAACAAACAATATGCATCACCGTCACTCGAACAATCAAACAAACAATATGCATCACCGTCACTCGAACAATCAAACAAACAATATGCATCATTGTCACTCGAACAATCAAACAAACAATATGCATCACCGTCACTCGAACAATCAAACAAACAATATGTATCATTGTCACTTGAAGAACCAAACAAACAATATGGTCATTGTCACTCGAACAATCAAACAAACAATATGCATCACCGTCACTCGAACAATCAAACAAACAATATGCATCACCGTCACTCGAACAATCAAACAAACAATATGCATCACCGTCACTCGAACAATCAAACAAACAATATGCATCACCGTCACTCGAACAATCAAACAAACAATATGTATCACCGTCACTCGAACAACCAAACAAACAATATGTATCATTGTCACTCGAACAATCAAACAAACAATATGCATCACCGTCACTCGAACAATCAAACAAACAATATGCATCACCGTCACTCGAACAATCAAACAAATAATATGCACAATCAAACGTATCCATCAACAAACAAACAATATGCATCATTGTCACTCGAACAATCAAACAAACAATATGCATCACCATCACTCGAACAATCAAACAAACAATATGCATCACCATCACTCGAACAATCAAACAAACAATATGCATCACGTCACCGAACAATCAAACAAACAATATGCATCACCGTCACTCGAACAATCAAACAAACAATATGCATCACCGTCACTCGAACAATCAAACAAACAATATGCATCACCGTCACTCGAACAATCAAACAAACAATATGCATCACCGTCACTCGAACAACCAAACAAACAATATGCATCACCGTCACTCGAACAATCAAACAAACAATATGTATCACCATCACTCGAACAATCAAACAAACAATATGCATCACCATCACTCGAACAATCAAACAAACAGTCATTGTCACTCGAACAATCAAACAAACAATATGCATCACCGTCACTCGAACAATCAAACAAACAATATGCATCACCGTCACTCGAACAATCAAACAAACAATATGCATCACCGTCACTCGAACAACCAAACAAACAATATGTATCATTGTCACTCGAACAAACAATATGGTCATTGTCACTCGAACAATCAAACAAACAATATGTATCACCATCACTCGAACAACCAAACAAACAATATGCATCACCATCACTCGAGCAATCAAACAAACAAGATGTATTATCATCACTCGAACAATCAAACAAACAGTATGTATCATTGTCACTCGATACGTAAGGACACGCGCCATCATCAAATGATGTTACAGCACTATAAGAACCGTCACTCAAACCAATGAATCCTTATACTGAAATATTTCCTCGTCGAGAAAAACGAAAAATGTTACGAAGTCTGGTCCCCACATTAACTTTACATGGCCATCTCGGCCGGAATCCCACTAATCCATCGCCCCTCCCGTTGGAGAGGAATGTTTGCCCTCCTGGAATCCCAAGTGTTGTTTCTGTGGCCAAACTTACCCCCTGGGGCGCTGGAACCTCTCCACATCAAACTAAATTATAAAGTTTACCGCAATGCAAATCTTCTGTTGTAATAAACATTTCATCAAGATCCCAGACATGGGGAAACAGCTCGTCGTCAACCACCCCGTGACAGGATATGCTTGTTGA